GTATGGGATGTTATGTCTTTAGAAAAACATATTTATGAAAGCAATACTTGAGTTTTGCTAATTTAATGCCAAATAAGTTGCACATTGTGCCATTGATCAGAGAACATTAGCTGGCATTAGGCAGTGGGCGGGGCTAATTTTGATTCTGCAGCTCCCACCACTATGGACCACAGCCGGCATTCTCATGAGGGATATTGAGGCCGGAGCTGCTCACCCAAAGTGCTGTAAATTTTGAAGTTATTTCACCCTTTTTCAGTGCTAATATTGACTTGAGCATAAAAGAAAACCACTGAGAAGTTTCATTGTATTGCTTAGCAAGAAGAAACCAATCAGATGTCAGGGTTTCTAATGAAGCATCCCTAGTCCCGCCTCCTTGACTTTGATAAATGTATAAAATATATTTTTTTTCCACTTGTATTTTTTTTTTTAAGGAAAAAAATAATATGAAACGGAAGAATTTACAGAGAACAGGTGGTCAGTGATCATTAATACCGGTATGTGTTCATTTTTTCCAAAGATTTCCATATTTTGCCTGATGCAACCTTATTATAAAAGTGAGTTTTTCCATGCTGTGAATTTCTTCTCTGATGTTCATTCAGTTTTTGACTGTAGGGGGTTCTTGTTTGGACCTTTTATATATGATGGCCTTCTTTGCTGCTACCAATAGAATTTAAATAAGTAAAGATTGTTCTCAATCTCTGGTCCCTTTACATAACTACAATATAATATCAGTATTGTTTTTGGTGTGTTGTTACCTAGTATCTTATCTATTTCTTTGGCAACATCTTCCCAAAATTGGGACAAATTGCAGCACTACCAGAATATATATGTATGACAGTTCAATTTAAAGTGTTTCAGCAAAGGAACAGGAAATAAATTATTTATTCAATCCATAAAATAAATATGTTTATTTAACTGAGGCCCATATAATTACTTGTATATTTTTTTAAATAATTGAAGTGTTTATTTCCTCATTAAACAAATAAACTATTTCAATAATAATTTCTCAAGTTATTTATTTATTGTATTGTGGTCCTCGTCATTTTTTAATAACTCCATTTTTAGGCGTGTGTGTTTATACTCCAGGTCCCTGGTGGCTACAAACGAATGCTTGCTTGCTGAGCTTCCAGCGAGCGTTGAACAATAAAGCCAAAGTGGAACAAAGTCGAGTACAGGCGGATTGAGCATCAAAGCAGAATCGTGCTAAGCTTCATATAAGCACAAGGTCGGTTATTCCTTTGTCCTGTTTTTTTTTTTTCCTTCGTCTTTATTTGAAACACACCACTTCCCGGCTTATTCTAAACTGTGTAAAGTCTGCATTTTGATGAGGGGTCTTTTATTCTGTAGGGTTATATATGGGCTGTCCTCTTGATATAAACAGTTTAACGAGAACAGCAATTCATTCATGAAACCTTGTATATAAGTAGGTGTCAGAGCTGTTATGATAACAAATGATTTTAGGGTGAAACTACGATGGTTGTGATGCGTTTCCTGGATCCATGGCAAGATTGTGTCTATATTCTCTCTCTTTTTTTTTTTTGTTAGGTCAGCAGTATATCCATCTGCGTTCTACTCTGCCGTGGATTGAATGTATCAGGACTGCAGCTGCACTGTGACTTTATTTATATGTCTGCCTCAGGCCTGGAAAGCTGCTCACACACGCACACTTTCCTCCTGCAAACACTCAAACAAGACTTGGCTGAGCATCTTGGAATCAAGCTGAATGTAGCTCCTGCTTTCATCTGAATTTTACAGGTCACTGGGCGGATGGTGCGACCCCACTGCAGAAGCAATCTTGAAAAGGCCATAAAACAGATATCTCTTTTCAGTGTATTTATTTTCAATAATGCACTAAAAATCAAGAACACACTTTAAGAAGCATTGAGAACAAGAGGAAAATAGCACTGCATGCACAGGGGCACAATAATACTTTCAAAGTTATTAGAAAAACAAACCATCCCTACTTTAAAGGTGCACAGTATTTGGCATCAAAGACAGAAAAATAGTCAAGCTAACACCGAAAGCTGCTAGTTTCGCACTCGATGCATGATTCTTCATCAGCTCAGGCTGCAGGTAGTGTGCTGCACACAATACTGTCATCTTGTAAAAATATTCTACAAAAAAATATTGTATGCAGTTTTCCCTTTTATCTGGTCGAGTATGTAAGTAAACATTAAACCCCTGCTTTTGTCAGTCCATTACTGTGCCTTAGATGACAGTAGCTTACATAAAAAGGTAAAGACAACAAGGCTAGCATAAGAGGACAGCTCACTTTCTACAAGTACAAATACAGTCATTGCAGGCAAATACACGATTTGATCATGATGCCACAATACTTATTTACTTTTATCTTATTTTTAACCAATAAAATACTTAAGTCTGACCAGTAGTCTGTAATCACACCAGGCACAGCAGTTTAGGGAAAATAAAGAAGCAAACTGTCATCAATATGCTTCTGAATCAAATGCATTATACAGAACATGCACAAAGAACAGCAATACAGAAAAACGAAATCCATAAAAGTCAGTGTTTTAAATTAGGTGAATTAGCAGAAACTGTATAGAATATACACACAACCTTAAAGCAATATAATAGAACTACTGTGTACAAATTGGATGAGGAGATAATGTAAGTAAAATGTTGATGGTACAATCTCAGCTTGGCAAGTGGAAAAAGATTATTTGCCTTAAATGCTGACTAAATACCAAAGGATCTAAAGATTGGCTGTTAGACACATGATTATGTTTAGAAACTACTATTTAAAGAACAGGCCTTTTTGTGCTTTATGTATCATGAAGAAGCAAAGTTGTACCAAAAATATTCCATGCATGGCGACACCACTAATATACTTCCTTGGTTTCAGCTGTAGACTAATTATCAAATGTACGGAAACCCCGAAAGGCCAGATATAAAAATTAGATTGAAGATACTAGATACTTTTAGGGCTGAAAACACAGTTTCCTTCACATCTGTTTACAGGCATATCAAAGATAAGAAAAAACAAAAAAAATAGCAGAACCTATTCTGAAATTAAAACGGCAAGCTTTAGTTCATCTTTTTGATGGTTTATTAAAGGAGAAGTTCGGTTTTTTACACTTTAAGCCCATTTTCTGTAGTGTCCAGGATGAAATCGAATGATCGACACCAAAAGTTTGACAATTGGTCCTGTCTCTGCTTTTTGGCTCATTTAGAATCCACCCCTGGCTGCTTTAGAATGGCTAGCATAGAGCATGTCCGATAATGTCCTTAAAACAACCATAAACGTTCTTTTTTAAAAATATGCTACTCACCGTGTCGTCAGCGCTGTTCAATGACGTTCCAAAAAAAGTTTCGTGAAGAAAAAACGTTCCTGTAGTGTTTTATTTAGCATTTTGTAAATCCCATTGAGTTCTGTAGGAATAGTCAATATTCCGCTGCCACCGGAAACGGAAATGGAGCCTGTTTACACAGTTGTAGTCTTTTCGCTTCACTCTGTGTACTCCGACGTCGAGGTGCTAACGTCTCTGTTAAACACTTTAAAAAACTCTGAAAATGGAATACGAAAGGTGGATTCTTTATTCTCGACGTCGGAGTACACAGAGTGAAGCGAAAAGACTACAACTGTGTAAACAGGCTCCATTTCCGTTTCCGGTGGCAGCGGAATATTGACTATTCCAACAGAACTCAATGGGATTTACAAAATGCTAAATAAAACACTACAGGAACGTTTTTTCTTCACGAAACTTTTTTTGGAACGTCATTGAACAGTGCTGACGACACGGTGAGTAGCATATTTTAAAAAAAGAACGTTTATGGTTGTTTTAAGGACATTATCGGACATGCTCTATGCTAGCCATTCTAAAGCAGCCAGGGGTGGATTCTAAATGAGCCAAAAAGCAGAGACAGGACCAATTGTCAAACTTTTGGTGTCGATCATTCGATTTCATCCTGGACACTACAGAAAATGGGCTTAAAGTGTAAAAAACCGAACTTCTCCTTTAAGCTAGGGTCCTCTTCACCCAGGCCTGTTTATCTAGTTCCAGTTTTAACTTATATGAATTATTTAAATTGTAGATATGGGAAAGTCTAGTGAATAGTGAGAATAAAAACAAAAAAATAACGTCTGTCTTTAAAGGAATGGTCCTTTACCTTTTTAAAGAGGTGAGGAGAATTGGGGTTCTTTATGTCGAATTTATACGGCAAGGAAAGATGAATACGTTATAACTGTGCATGAACACTGAACAACACAAAAAGTACATACAAATAAGTATGTAAAATTTATTTTAGATGCTTTTTTATTTAGAAATTGGGGTAAAATAGGCAGTTCTTGCATAAACTGCATTCTTGGGGAGTCCATCTTTTTGCTGCCCTTACACTAAGGATGAGATTCTGGGCTTTTTAAAGTGGTACGGTTTCCACAGAAACAATGTAAAATGTTCTGCGTATTCTGTGCTTCAATCTCCTAGACTACATGCTTAATGCAACTTGTGCTCACCCACCCAAACTAATGCCATCCATATAACCATAATCAAAGGACACCAGTTGTGTCATTATTTGTGATTTTTTTTATTTATATATATATTTTTTTGCCTACATCACTGATTAAATACTCAAATAAAAATTTCAAAGTGAAATTATGCTCCTTTAAATAAAAAAAGACATCCATATTATTACTTTTTCTGGAATACATTTTTGTTTTGGTGATGACTGAAAAAGATAATTATTGCTCAATGAGATTTCTTGTTTTTGTAAAGTGTAACATTACATTTTTATTATTTAATCAGATTTAGGGGCTTCTGTACAAATGATTAATAGTTTATGAAAGAAACTTAATTTCCCTATACACAACAGGTTTAAGGTGGAAAAACCCGCTGAAGATGCATAGCCAACATCAGTTATAACCGTGTCAAATAAAATTGAGCCAGTCTTTAAAATCCGCACCTTTCTTTTACCAAACAACGTAACAGAAAGACTTCTAATTTAAAAAAAAGTGCAACTATTCCCCCCCCCCCCCCCCCCCCCCCCCCCCCATCATATTGTTTTTCTGTTTCTGTTCTTGGTGCGTTGTTTGTTGTGCTTGTTAAATATTCTGGGGCCCTTTCAAAGCAAGGCTCTAGCAGTTCCTCTCATTGGTTCTTGGCAGTAACTCGCTATCAGACAGGAATGTACCAGCTGGTGATGACTTAGTAAAAAAATACATGTAAACAGTTTTCCAGTTCTCACACAAAGAGAGGAGTTTAAAAGATTTTTTTTAGCATTTCTCTCACACAGACATACACATAAAAATAAAGCTGTAGGGTAATGTATGACCTTGTATTCTGTTGTGCTTTCTAGGAGTACTCTGTAGAAAATCATCTTAGCTCATAATGAAATGTTTTGACTTCACAGGGGTCTACCCTCAGTGGGTTTGTTCACTTTCTTTTCGTACGTCCCTCGATGTTTGTATCCTGATACGTATCCTGAAGTGTCGACTATGTCCACCCGGCCAGCCTTCCCCTTTCCTCGGCCGGTCTCGTCGAAGCGCTCCTTGTGGGACCCTGTGAACTTGGTGGTGTCTGTAAGGCGGCTCACCGTTGGCGAGGCCACGGCTCTCTGTGAAACAATACAGCATTTTAGTCATTGTGAAACAGCTGAATGTTGTGAGTGACTGATCAGAGCTCACCGTGACCCCTGCGATGATCGGCCCTTTCCCCTCAATCAGCTTGAAGACCTCGGCCTCTGCGTCTTCTCCGCTCTTTTCTTTGTATTTCTTCCGAGCCAGCTCTCCTAGCGCCACTTTGAATTCATCAAACGTAATGGTTCGACAGGATTTCTTCCTGAAAAGGAAGAAGCTACTTGTTACCCTTTTCATTCCAATGTAAATATATATATTCTGTATTTTGCCTTAAACCTTAATGTGATTTTTACACTCCTCAAAAGGAAGTGAAGTATCTCAAACAAAGAAATAATGCTGTAATCTGAGTTTATTTATAATCTGAGTTGTGGACTAAACTATTCCACAGCAAAATCTTGACCTCCGTCTGTCTTAGTTGAGATTTCTGAATGTCCAATAGGATCAGGCTGGGTGACCAAAGTGCTTTTCCAGGTTATTCCGTAAAAGTAAAAAAAAAAAATCCACTGGACTTGGTTTCCAAGATTTGAAGACGTTTCGCAACTTCTCCAGGAAGCTTTCTCAATTCAAAAATTGAATTTTGAATTGAGAAAGCTTCCTATAAAAAATACCCCTCTAAAAAAGAACATCGAATTTTGTGGTTCTTGCATTAAAATGAAAACTTTTGTAATGTAGCAAGAGTGATTTAATGTTTAATGAGATGATCAGAACAAAGTTTAGCAAACCAGTGATTTTAAAAAAGGAAAATTTTCAACCGTTTACAAACAGAATATGGAGATGTTTGCATTAGTTGGCTGAGACTGTCTCTAACTTCAATCTGCCTTCGGCGCCAAGTACAGGTGCTGGTCATAAAATTAGAATATCATGAAAAAGTAGATTGATTTCAGTAATTCCATTTAAAAAGTGAAACTTGTATATTATATTCATACATTACATACAAACTCATATATTTCAGATGTTTATTTTGTTTAATTTTGATGATTACAAATGACAACAAATGAAAATCTCAAATTCATCATATCAGAAAATTAGAATATTGTGAAAAGGTTCAAAATTGATGGCCCCTGGTGCCACACAAATTAACTCAAACCACCTGCAAAAGCCTTTAAATGGTCTTTCAGTCTAGTTCTATAGGCTACACAATCATGGGGAAGACTGCTGACTTGACAGTTGTCCAAAAGACGACCATCGACACCTTGCACAAGGAGGGCAAGACACAAAAGGTCATCGCTAAAGAGGCTTGCTGTTCACAGAGCTCAGTGTCCAAGCACATTAATAGAGAGGCGAAGGGAAGGAAAAGATGTGGTCGAAAAAAGTGTACAAGCAAGAGAGATAACCGCACCCTGGAGAGGATTGTGAAACAAAACCCATTCAAAAATGTGGGGGAGATTGACAAAGAGTGGACTGCAGCTGGAGTGAGTGCTTCAAGAACCACCACACACAGACGTATGAAAGACATGGGTTTCTGCTGTCGCATTCCTTGTGTCAAGCCACTCTTGAACCACAGACAGCGTCAGAAGCGTCTTGCCTGGGCTAAAGAGAAACAGGACTGGACTGCTGGTGAGTGGTCCAAAGTCATGTTCTCTGATGAAAGTAAATTTTGCATTTCCTTTGGAAATCAAGGTCCCAGAGTCTGGAGGAAAAGAAGAGAGGCACTTCATCCACGTTGCTTGAAGTCCAGTGTAAAGTTTCCACAGTCAGTGATGGTTTGGGGTGCCATGTCATCTGCTGGTGTTGGTCCATTGTGTTTTCTGAGGTCCAGGGTCAACGCAGCCACATACCAGGAAGTTTTAGAGCACTTCATGCTTCCTGCAGCTGACCAACTTTTTGGAGATGCAGATTTCATTTTCCAACAGGACTTGGCACCTGCACACAGTGCCAAAGCTACCAGTACCTGGTTGAAGGACCATGGTATCCCTGTTCTTAATTGGCCAGCAAACTCTCCTGACCTTAACCCCATAGAAAATCTATGGGGTATTGTGAAGAAGAAGATGCAATACACCAGACCCAACAATTCAGAAGAGCTAAAAGCCACTATTAGAGCAACCTGGGCTATCATAACACCTGAGCAGTGCCACAGACTGATCGACTCCATGCCACGCCGCATTGCTGCAGTAATACAGGCCAAAGGAGGCCCAACTAAATACTGAGTGCTGTACATGCTCATACTTTTCATGTTCATACTTTTCAGTTGGCCAACATTTCTATAAATCCTTTGTTTTTATTGGTCTTCAGTAATATTCTAATTTTCTGATATGATGAATTTGAGATTTTCATTTGTTGTCATTTGTAATCATCAAAATTAAACAAAATAAACATCTGAAATATATGAGTTTGTATGTAATGTATGAATATAATATACAAGTTTCACTTTTTAAATGGAATTACTGAAATCAATCTACTTTTTCATGATATTCTAATTTTATGACCAGCACCTGTACCTGTGAAGGTGTTGAATTCCCATGTAACAAATCACACCTTGGAAATATCACAGCCCATCAATCATTTGTGCTCTTAGAGGGCTTCAGCTGTTAAACTCTCCTTTTGCCCGTTTCACCTCCACAGTTTAAAGCCCTTAGTAACACCAACACAAACATCCATTGCTGTGGAGATAAATCACCCAAACAACAGCCTATAAAGCTTACAGTTTCCCCAGGCAACTCTGCTGCCATAGCAACAAGCTACAGAAAAACAAGAGATGTTTGGGTTTTACTATCAGTTTGACTTTTTCGGTGACTGACAGCGGTTTTTGTTTTGGAGATCTTTTTAGAACATCTGAGACCTGTTTTTAAGTTGTTTGCGGTCAGAAAGGAAGTGGGCACTTGTGTCTTTTCTATAAAATAAAAGAGAAAAGAAGTGATCAAATGTTTTAGGCTGAGTATAAAGAGACCCTTGCAATAAAAAGGCACAGGCACCAGGGGAGTAAATGTAAAGCAAATAAAGCCCAAGTAACCTGCTGATACTTCATTGTAAATTACTTCTTCCTCATTCACTGTTTATTATTCTGGCCTGAACCACATGCATGTTGTCTCTCATTCGAGCATGCTGTGATTAGCCAGTGCTAATTAAAGTGCATTTGAGATAAAAAAAAAAAAAAAAAGCTTTGGCACTAGTTCAAAATAAACTTATAATGTATCTTCAGGAATGGAAGCCCTGTTTGCACTGCTTAGATCTGAAAAACTGCTCTAAAGCTGGCTCCTTATTTTATACTGCAGCTCTTCTCATCATGTGGGAGGCTCTGACACTATCCCTCAATATATACAGTGGGCCGAACTGATAATCCTCAACGCTTGAGGTTTTACAGAGTCTGCAAAATATATGTAAAGCAAGGCCTAATGTACACAGAATAGAACAAACCCACTGAGTTGAGAAAGACTAAAATGACATAGAACATGTCTTTAGATCCATATATTTCTGCAGAATTTTATTGCCTCATTCTGGGTATTGGCCAACAGTAGATCAGGGTGTAAACAAGGCTGCACAGTCATGCACAATATTCCTTGTTGGACTTGCCAAGTAAATCATTACCATGCCAACTGTAAGGGTTTAAACGCAGACGGCTCACCGCAGTTTATATATTGTTGCAAGGAACCAATGTAAGAGTCAGGAGAGGAAAAGCTCAAATTTTATACATATGCAAATTGACACAAATGAAATATGTTTCTTTTAACATCACAGAATTATTCCTCTAATGCATACAAAAAACAGGATTTAGATTTTATTGCGAGATTATGATGTTTTTACATCTATAAAAATTAATAGTACAGTTAGATTTACTTTTTCATTTCACTACTACCGGTAGTTCTATGAGATCATAAACATATATGCACCTAAAAAAAAAATATGACATATAGTCTATTATAGACTGCTTAGTGATAAAATTGCACTTCTTGATTTTAGTTCCAGCTAAAAAGTTTTTTTTTTACAAAAAATCTACAGTGGGTTTTTCAATAATCTTAATGATTATTGTGATAAAGACCTTAAATCAAAAACTTACGTTTAAGTAAAGGAATAAATAGATTACGTATAAAGGGTAATATGAGGTGATAAATTAATGTTCAGAAAATAGATTTCAATCAATTGGATGAGCACCTTTTAGCAATAAAGACAACATTATATGGCATTTTATTATTTGCATTTAACTTTTTCTCAGCTTTAATACTGACCTTTAGATGTGAAGAGCATAAAATGAAAAAAGTTTGGTTAAAAATGAAAAAAATATTGGAGTGAACTCAGAGAGCAACAGCCAACACCACCACCACTGTCCGAGTTGAATGTCAAACAAAACAGAAACTTTACCTTTAAGTGTAAACTTCTTTTCCTGAAAATTATTTGTAAATAACACATTTATGTTGCTAACTGATGCACGTTTAGGGTTGGATACAAATAATATAGACAACTGAATCCAACCATTGCATGTTTTTGTTTGCATACATGCTAATATTATTCCTGCAGCACAGCTATCCCGACTGGAGATTTAAAAAGCTGCAAGTTAAAAATATTGTGTATAAATGTCTCTGTCTACTATTTCGAAAATATGTCCCAAAGGTGATTAATAGTTGCTATGATACCAATTCTTTCCCCCATCGTTCATGCAGACTTAAAAAGGCTATTCAAAGAAAGAATAATCTGTCTGTGTTAATGATTGAACCAGAGATAAGTCTTCCCACAGCAATCTAAGTCCCTGTAGGGGTTGATAACTGATAAAGTATCAAGGGTAATTAAATTCAATAAGTGTGTTGTTACAAAACAACAAAGCCTGAAGCAAATCAATATTTAATGTGTGTCTTAAGAAATGCTAAAACGTCAAATATATATACAGTTGATTAAAACATAACAAAATTAGTGAGGGATTCCTGCACACTTTTTTTTTGTCTTTCCTCTGCAGCAGAAATACATAAAAATGAATGGCTTTGAGCCATGCATGACAGTGTTAGTCTGCCATGCAGAATAATCCTTTCATTTAAAAGAACTAGGTTAAAAAATCCAAACAGCTCCACATGAATAAACATGAATAAAATCATCTTTTCTTTCTTTCATTTTATATTTCATTTATAAAGGCTCTGACAATATTTGCCCACATATTATCTGCACTAATACATTTAAATATATGCATCCTGTTTTATGGATTTACTAAAATAAGTCATTAAACTGGTGTTTTATCCATACACCGATGTTAAGGTTTTAGGTCTGCTCTGTGCACTTGGTAAACACGGCTGACCAGATGAAAACCTTTTCTCCTTGGCTGTCAAACAATATTGAGGTTACAGTCATTACTGTATTCGGTCTGCATGAGTAAAATTAAGCATTGAAGCATGAATCAGCACAACCTGAGGAAATACAAGATGAAGCATATGTGGCCTCTAGCTTTAGCTGCTGTTTCTAATGGGCAGCTTCATGTGAATCAAATGAAGACAAGCAAATCATATAGTTAATCATATAATGAAGGTTGTATGTTTTCTTGGGCTACAATAAGCTAAACAAGATTTCTACAGCACAGTAATCTAAAGCAATACTTTCTTCTAATGCCTTTTTTTGCATAATAATTTTGGGCATTTGGACCCAGAAATCTACTGGAGACTGGACCCAACCAAGATATTGCTATGACATGCAGATGTATTTAAAAGCAAAAATCTCAGTGGAATTTCCTGCTGATATAATGTGATATTTGTAATATTTTGACAGAATCTGAGCTGTACTCACTTGACTTTGGTGAAAACTATGTCCACATCGGTGAGGGTCACGTTTTTCCCATCAATCACACCACAGTCCTTACAGAGTTTGGACCAGTTCTTGCCGTGCATCTCTTTGCCCGTAGCACGGGTGTCACCGTGGATGGCGAAGCGCCGAAACGACTCTTCCAAAGCAGTGATTTCCACCGGCGTGGACGAGCCCATACCTCCGTCACTAGTCCCATTAGACTCAGTCGAAAGCCTTTTGGACGTCCGGTCCCTAGAATGGTCACTGTGTGGCCGTAAAGCAACTGAGCTCATGTTCGGGTGCTTGGCTGTTTGGACTTTAAACTCCTCTATGTTGTCTCTGTAGGAGGAAAATGTATATTTGGGCATACTTGTTATGAGAATACAAAAATAAGCATTTAACAGAATATATGGGATTGGAGAAAACAGATTCTCCATTAAGTCCAACCATACAATTCATTATTATATAAATCAATGCTGTCAAATGTAAAATAATAGAGATGGATGGAAATGAAACCCAACACCTGAAAACCTGACAGGAAGGGAGGGTTTTCAGCTGTTCTAGATATGATCTAATGACAAGTTGAAACATTTCTGCAGAAAATAAAAGAAGTCAATCATGCTGTGAGGTCAAGTCACAACCTGCTTTTGGTTTCCCCTTTTTCTAAAGAATTTACTGTTTTTAGATGTGCTGCAAGGCTGTTGAAGTACCAAGATGAAACCCATTAACGGATTTCTGTTTAACTTAAGGATGAAAAAATCGAAACACAAAAGATGTAGCCATGTAATAAATATTACATTGATTTAAAATAGATGAAAAACTTACTTCTGGTCTGCCATGGTTGAGCAGGAATTTAATTCCTTCTGTGAAGCTCTTGTAGCTGATTTTTTCTTTTTGCTGTAAAAAGAAAATAAAAGGAAGGTGTTCATTTACAGCGGCATATAAGTTAAAACAGAAAGAAGAATAGAAAAAAAAATCTATATTCTTTCAATATCCATGCAAAAAGCTCTGATGCATTTCTTTACATAAATTATGTAAATAATGTACTGTTTGGTTTCCTTTCAAGGGTATTTTAAGTGTGGCCACAGTGTGCATGGTCAGTTTATAAGGAGTAATGCCTACTTCTGTACAGCTCTCAAAACTGTTTAGGCTGCACACATTATTTAGCAGGTTAGCATATCTGGGTTTTCCCAAACAATCTACTGGTTTATGTGGATCAAAATGACTTCTCACCGTAAAAGAGAGACGCTGTATTGGTTGCTGCAGTTTTCTGTCTGTCAGTGTCGTGTAATTTGCTCTGTTTCCTCAGACAGCTGTTTGAGAGTCAGAGTTCAGCCCAAACACCAGTCATTAACTTTTATGACGCTCAAAGAGAAGTCATTCGTTTATGAAGCATGAGGACAACTTTTTTTTGTTGATGTTGGTTTTGCTTTCACTGTATTACTTGGAACAGCACTGGAAGATGTAAAAGCTTATCTATCAATATAGATATCGATGCAATGTCAGCATTAGCTGGGCACTTGAGCAAATTGCACCACATGAAAATATCTTGGCAGGAGTTTATTGAAAATTAAAACTGTAGGCTACTTTTAAACCTTTATGCAATAATTCTAAAGCTATGCACATTCCATGTCATGCATTGTTAAAAATAAAATATTTTTCCTAACTGATAACCTGTGTTGGAGCATCATCATTGAGGTTACCGTGCAGAAACACAAAGTCTGTCGCTGCAACAGCAGCGACTATAGAGCAATTTGTGAGTGTTTTAAGTGCTACACAGTCATAGAGATGAATACTGATATAGATTATGTATATCAAATGTAAAATTATTCTTGAACCGTCATAAAGAATCAAACTGGGACACAGTGTTAAAAATAAGCAAAAAGGAAGCCTTATTATCACCTGAAGAACATTTCCAGGATTAAAGGACTAATGTCCAGGCAGAATCTAGAAAAACTCTTTCATTCATTTATCTTTAGTAGAATTGATCTCTGCAAGTCTCTTCAGAAGTTTGCCTATAAAGTCCATCAGACAGCTGCATTGTGCTACTGTTCTCACTCGAACTAAGAAAGACACATCAGCCCTGTTCTGAAGTCCTTCCACTGGCTCCCTGTAGCTCAGAGAAAATCCTTCTGTTAGTCTATAAATCAGGACCTAAATGAATAACTGATTTGTTGTCAGTGTATCAACCTCCCAGGTCACTCAGGTCTTCTAGTTCCAGCCCACTATGTACACCAAGAAACAGAACCAAAGCTAAAGAAGCAGCATTTAGTTCCATTATGCTCCACTTATCTGGAACAAACACCAAGGAGACTGTAAAACTGCTGAAAGTCTGAGTTCTTTAATGTCAAAGTTAAAAACCCATTTGATTAGAACTGCCTTTGACTTTTGAAATTTAACTGCTAACTGGGGTATTAGTTAAAGGTTGTGGTCCAATTGTTTTACTTTATCATATTTGTTTTATCTTCTGTTTTGTAGTCCAGTTGTTTTATTTGTTTTATAGATGTTTTTGCTTTTATTCCGCTTTAATTTTTCCTTTCTTTTACTATCTTATTCATGTAAAGCACTTTGAATTGTCCATGTACTGAATTGTGCTATACAAATAAAATTGCCTTGCATGGCCTTGCCTAAACTATAACGATTGGTAATTTATGCTCAGGACTTTTTAGTCCAGATGGTTTCTTATGGACATAAATATGTATTCTACCAAAGCTCAAAGGTTCACACACACCTTTGTAGTTTCCTTTATTTTATTACCTTTCTAAATTTAAGTCACAAACTGGAGCTGTCAACACTATGATGCAAAATATATGGAAAAATGTAGAAAAAAAAACTTTAAAATAACACACAACCTTATTTTATATATTATAATAACTTAAAAATAGCTCAGTATGTCTATGTACACTTTCTTTACATTTAGTATTTTATTTCTTTGTGCATCAAAAAGTAGAACACAGACCATTTATTAAACACACAGACTAAAAGCTTGTGTGATGATGTACCTTTTTAGCATGTAACTAATAAATAAAGGTAAGACACAGAGAATGGGTTAATCAAAAGATAATTTCATTTTCTGTTGGATTCAAAACTTCTAACTCTATCAAGGAATCCCATAGAAAATAAAAAATATGGAGAATCTGCAATATTGTCCAGAGTTGCTCATAAAAATTTGAAGTTAAAAATCTAAACATGGTAATGCAAAGGCGGCAAGTGATGTCAAACAGATACATTTAATGAAACAAGTTAATGGAATTTTCACAAAAATCATGGTTTCATCTCATGAACACAAAGTTGCAGAGAAATAGAGTGGATGTGTTAATTCAGTAGCTTCTAAGTAAAAAAAAAAAAAAAAAAAAAAAGTTAAAAAAGATCACATAAGGTTAAGCTTGTCCATTCCTAAATCACGGCTTAGAATAATGTTTTGTCATATTTTCCTACGTACGGTTTGCTCTGGACTGAATACTGTCTGTTTTCCTCTGGATGACTTTTTTCAGCCTGAACAGAGATATTTTTTTCTTCACCCAACAACCTGATTTGCATCTATAAATAAAAACAGCACCCAGTCTCCTTCTACCATCAGCTTTTCTTACTCCTACAAGTTGGGGGGGGAAACAAAATCACTTCTGCCTGCAGCAGTCTTAGACCAATATATAATGATGATCTAATTGCATTTAAAGGCTCTCTGCTCACCTTTCCGCTGTTCCCATACTCAGCTTAGCATCCTTAAAGAAATGAAGGTTTGACCCAAAAGCCACTAAGATTATTTTTTTTCACAATCCAAGAGTAAAAAAAAGGTAATCCAAAAGATAAAAAATACAGAGAAAGAACAACTTTCTGTGGATTTAACTATCTTCCCCCTTAAGTCACCAATAAAGTGCGTTCACTCACCCCCAGTCGTAATGGCAAAAGTGAAGGGCTTTGTCTTCTTCAACCAAGTGGCCCTCAATCTAAGCTCTGACCTCACTAAGGACGGTTGATACTTAAATACCCACAAAGGTTCACATTTGCATCTACAACACACTGACAGTGCATAAAGCTTTTATAAAAAGCCACTCACTACAGGAGAATACAGAAGAGATTATTAATGTGTATGAATAATGGCATTTAGAGCTATGGACACTAGGAACCTATTGTCTATTGCGAGTGGCTGCTCTGTCTGACCCTATGCCCATTTCTGAACACATACACACATGGTGACATCGCAGAGCAACACTATTGATGGCAGGGCCCTCTGTCATATGTCATCGAACACTTGTGCCAAGACAAATGAGACAGAGGCCCCCGAGGCCCTTAATGCGTCAGCAATGAAACCCGACATAAAGTAAAATCACAATGAATGAGTACCAAGATGCTGCTGCATCTTGGTACTCTTCATCTAGTTTGAAGATCAAACTAGAAACAAGTTTTACCGCATAAGATCCGCTTGGTAGCTTTAATTCATTTTCAAATTCCATTATTTGAAACCTGAACCTTTAATGTGAATCATATTTCTCTAATATTTACTTACTTTTCTGCATGTATATGGAAGCAAAATAGTCTCATTGGAATCAACCTTTTTTTAAACACTGAATTTGTTTAGACATCAAATTTATTACACTGAAATTTAATGTAATAAAAATGATGTATGTAATTTCTTTACTATTTAAACATCACCTGTCATAAATTCACCTGATATAAATATTTAAATCAGATGAATTTATGACATGTGATTTTTTGCAGGTGAGTTTTGAAAAATTCAGTGTTGAAAAAAATGCTGATTCCAAGGAGACTATTTTACTTCCATACATGCCTCTCTATGATTTTCCCAGAACAAAAATAATTGGAGAAAGAGAGCCAGTAAAAAAAAAAAAGGCAGGGTTTAAACAGAAGAATTAGTTAGATCTTACGATGTAACAACCTTCCCCTATGCCCCACAGAGCCGGGGGAAACATCAGTGGTGTTTAGAAACAGTAACTGGTTACCAGTGTGTACATAGCAGGAGAAACCTAAAGCTATAACCACACAGCTGAAGGCTCCAGACCCTCTGGTGCTAAAAACATTTTAGCTTGTCACCCATTAATTATCATTCACCCTGAATATGTTATATTTAACTATAAGGACGATAAAACTAAAGCTAAGGAATAGAGCGATTTGATCCATCACCGGTATCATACTCTGTGAATTTCCAACATGTTACAAAGACTCTTGAGGGGAGTAAAATATTTGGGAAGAAAAGGTTTGTATTGAGAGGAGTTTGTTAACTAGATGTTTTTAATAGGATGCCCAGACAACACAGATACAATCATTGGTACTGTCAAGTCAGGGACAAGTCAGAATGAAAAATTGTAAAGATAGAAGAATAAACCTGAGAATATTCTTTAAAAATAATCAGTCTGCAAGCATGAAAACATGCCTGAGAGTCAAAAAAATGTTTTTTGACATGCACCATTAACATTAAATACCATCTTTATTATAAATCTATCTTTTTTTAGCCCTAATTAGAAATTTTAGAAAAATATGTCTGCTATTTTCTCCAATAAATCCATTCATACATGTGTATTAAGGATCATCAGTAGTTTTAAGATATGCAACCAAGCCATATGAATTGCTGAAACTACAGACTTAAAGTCATGTTCACACTTTAAATTGTGACTTTTCTTTCTTTTTTTCAGACATGGAGAAACTCTTTAGTTTTAGAAGACTTTTTCTGTAGTTCTGAAAGCATCAGGATACTTTACATCAAAAACTAGTCATAAAGAACTTTAATCAAGGACAAAAATGCAATATTGCTCATAATAAAGCTAGTAAAGATCCAGTCTGAATCATTCAAACTGCTCCTAAATAAAATCCAAACAACACAAAGATGGGCGCAGCTCTTTTCAAAATCTGACTTTTAACAACACTTTATTTACAAAAAT